GCTTGGCCTGCTGTGTTCATCCAGCTCTACACCTTGTAAAGCTCACATTAAAATTTACTTCACTTTCCCCATTTCTTTGATGTCTTCAACTTAGAAGTATTTGGGAAGTCTGTTGGGATTCTTGCACTTTTTTTTCATTCTTGTTTTGTGGCTCTTTAAAGAAAAATGTTCCACCAAATACTCTAGGTTATGCCTCACTGCTGCCACCATTTTTTATTCATTCATTTAGAAAGAATATATGCATGATTGTACAGAAGACACCCTTCCTCCCACCCCCGTTCCATCCTTTATAGAGTCTGTATCACCTGAGTACAGAGGTCATCTACATTTCCATTAAACTCTATCTCCACAAAAAATACCCAAATAATATCACATTGCAGTCATTGGAACCTTGCACAAATTAGCTACTGCATTTCCTGTTGTGGAACATTTGTACTGTAGAGATTTTGTGGCTCAAGTGGGGATGACTATGCCTCAGAGTCAAAAGCTCTGGATTCAAGCCATATTATAGGACTGGCAGGCCATGGAATGATCATTTATGATGTAGTACAATCGCCTGATAATATGCCTCCTAATCCTTTCAACGCTTCTCTATTATATATGAAAATAAAAGCAAACAGGGTTGTACTTCTGTGATAACCTCTCTAAGGTCCATGGGGAATCACTCATTAATTTCCTCATGGATCTCATTAAGTACAAGTTTCCTTGATAATAGGCAATGCCCAGCTTGAACCCATCATCTAAGGCCTTTATAAAGCAGATCCAAGGGACCCTCTTATGGTGCTGTAATAGTATCCCTACCCCTGGGCCTGGAGGCCTGGGTTCAAGAACCACCCACTCCTGAGAGGAAAAAAAAACAGACCCAAGTATAGTTCTGCACAACAGTCTGTCTCAGGCTGGGACAAGCCTATGTATGCCAAGAATAGTGGCTCTATTATAGCGTTCGACAATGAATGATTTTCATTTCAGGATCAGCCTTCCTGAGTTAGTATGACTTCAAAAAGAGGAGCTACTTTCTTTAAATGTGATGACCTAATGCCACCATAAAGACATAATTCAGGAAAATCAATGTAATATATTAGAAAATGTATACTTTGAGAGAATGAGAATCATCAATAGCATTCAGTAGAAATATCCACTCATTAACCAGAACAAATTAGCCAAAAGTCAAACACCATGGATGATTAAAAAAAAACACAAAACTGAAGCTGAAGGATAAGGTACACAACAGGAGCATGAATGGTCAATGAGAGACTAACAAAAGGGACTAAGAATAACAATAAACTAAGTCAGCAAAACAATTAGCAAGGCAAAGGAGAGCTACAAAATTAAATTATTAAGGAATATTTAAAATAAAAGGCATTTTGCAAACACAAATGGCAAATAGGAAAGCATAACATAAATTGGGTAATAACAGCAAAATAGTACAAAAATTGAATAATTATTTCAGTTCAATATTTACCAGAGACATGAATTTGGGTGCATTATCTTCTAAGAAATGATTTTAAAAAGCATGAGGTTGAATACAAACTGATCAAATTTGGAAACGTAGATTGTATGCCCTGCATGCAAACAGAAATTAGGGAAGCGATAACAGAGGTCCTAAAAAATATGTATGAAAATTCATTAGTAAGGCAAATGGTACCAGAGAACTAGTGAACAACTTAAGTGTATCTCCTTTCAAATAAAAATATAATGTTTCAAAGGTATTACGAACCTGTTATTAACACCAGTAATGGGAAAATAATGAAAAACTTCTGAAATGTACAATAGAACAACATTTGGAAACATAAATTAGTAAAGAACAGTCAGAAGATTTCAAAAATAAAGATCATTTTTGACTAACCTTACTCAATTATTTAAGTAAAAAATAATAGATGGAGGGAATGCAGTATGTGTAATATATTTGGATTTTCAAAATGCTTTCAATAAGTAACTGCATTGGAAACTCGTAACTGAATTCAGAAAATTTGAGTCAAGCACAAGTATGAGATAGCAACCAGCTACAGTATGGTTGTAAATGGAGTGCATCACAAACAGAGCACCTGCTCCAGTTGGGATGTATGTCTCATATAAATGTTACAGGCCTGTATTAAGAAGAGGAAGGTACTAATGACATTGAGACCCCTGCTGGCTGCAATCAGAATTAATTATAATTGAATAGAAACAATAACATTGTATCAACTGGTATGTGTTAATCCTGCATAACAATCCTGTCACCCTCTTTCTCGAGTTAACTGATTTAACCCCATAGTGTTGTACATTGTCCCTACTGCCCACAATGTTTGTGCTGCAAATATTTCATTATGGTCTGCTCACTGTTTCACTGATTCATATGCTTGTGTCACATCTGAAATCCAAAGTATAGTAAAGGATTTCTTCTTCATAAAAGATTATTTCAACTAATTTAGCCAAGACACTGATCAATGATTCAATAACAGTGTCTTAGTTAGCAGGATAAAATTGGATTACAAAATCAGACACAATTATTTTGTTGACATAGAACTGCAAATGAAATGACAAACTGATATTTCATTGAAAATGGGCAGGATCTTTCCTACAAGCATCTGAACTCCACTGTCAAGCAGAAATGTGAGTAAGAAGCTCTCACTATACTGGAAACAGTCATTCATAATGATTTTCCTTGGAGTGGCCAGAGGTGACTTGGCAGATAGGGTCTTGAGGCTGGAGGGGCAATCAGAGACTTCCAACTTGAAAGAACCAGCAGACTGAAATGGAAGTTTAGAAATGGAGAAGGCATTTCAAAATGGAGGCACCCTCTCCAACATTTTAAAGTTTAAATTAAAAAGTACCTTTTTTCACTAAGCTATCACTACAGCAGGGGGAGTCCCTCTACATAGCGGCATGTAACTGCCCCAGGCAGGCAGGAAGATAGCCTAGGCCTGCCTGGAGCATTGCTCCTAATCTCCCTTTAACACATACTCTGCTGGGAACTCACCTCAGGGTATTTTAAGTTTTCGCTGGCAACAAGGGTAGACCTGACTGGAAAATTCTCTAGTAGGCCCTTAATAAACCTGCTGCATGAAGGCAAATAGCATTGTTCTCTTTCTCCCTCATCCTGCCTCACAAAAATGGCCCTGAGGTGTGGTAGAGTCAGAGACACCGTCACGCGGGGCAACTGACTAACTAGAGCATCAGCCACCTCTGATCCTGGCCCAGGCAAGTTTCCAAAGTTTCTTGTTCTAACATGATTTACATTGCTGCATCTCATCTAAAAATAGGCTAAATCTTTGCATCATTATCAAAGATAATTTCTGCTAATTAAGTTCACAAAATTATATTTCTGAACTTTTGGCCATAATCCATAAGCTGCTGAGCAGCAGTACTGTGTATTTATGGAACTGCCCTTGTAGCAAATGAAAGCAGCATTTCAAGTTTTGCAACAGATAGTCTTAGTGATACTGTAATGTCTCTCATTAATAATAAATTCTTCTGAGTTTATTTGAGATGTATTGATTGTAATTCTCCTGATTTGGCATTCCAGGTGGTGTACCAGGACTAGGTCCAGGTAATTTGATTTTGCATGATTAATATTTTAGATTCATTGGGATTATTTGAATGTTTAAATTTATTATTGCAGGTTTTGTAATACGGTCTGTTAGTACGTTTTTACACTTTTTTTTTTAGTGTTTCCATTTGTTTAATTGTTGCAGTTACAGAGTGAAAGCAGCCAGTTGCCCAGGTCTTCACCTCAGTGCTCTTGCAGCTCAGTGTGTGAACAGATACAGGACTACTGAAGGCATCCGTTACTGTTAGCGTCAGGGTCAATGATAGTTACCTGAACTTCCGTGGCAGCTGTGTTAATTGCTTTCATTGACATTGGAGGTTGCATGAAGCCATATTGTGAGCAGCACAATAATATTTATGCCACTTGCTTCATGTTGGAAATAATAATTTTAATGGTTTATGCCTAGCCTTAAGGGGAAATGGAGCTGGATTCCTTCTTGCTCTATAGCATTGTGAGTTAATTCATGCCAGGTTGTGCAGTGCATTGAGTACTTCTTGGTTAAATCCTTCATTCATGGGATGAGGGTGTCGCTGGCTAGGCCAGCATTTATTGTCCATCCCTCATTGCCCAGGGTGCGATTGTTGTGGGTCTTGCCTCACACGTAGGTCAGACCAGATGAGGATGGCAGTTTTCCTTCCCTGAAGGATATTAGTGAACCAGAATGACAAGGATTTCACAGTCATCAATAGATTCTTAATTCCAGATTCTTTTTATTGAATTCAAATTCCCACCAATTGCCATCACGGGATTTGAACCTGGATCCCCAGAACATTAGCTGGCTTTTTGGATTAATAGTCTAGCAATAATACCACTAGAATATTGCCTTCCCCTATGCCTCAAGGTAACATTCTAGCCCACTGCCGCAAATCTAGCATACGATTTTACAGGCAAGCTGGCACCTGTAACATTCTATCCACCTAATTCAGGTTTTCTTTACTTGTGACCAGTCGTTTTTCCAGCCTGAATTTGTATTTACAATCCCCTGTTAATCCAATCCTATATTACCCAATCCAAGGTATCACAATCGTCCTATATTTACAATCCTATGTTAGGTTGGTTCAGCTACCACTTGAAGGTCTCCTCTCACACAATGATTTTACGAATAAACCTTTTCCTTTGGAACGTGAATAGAATCTTTCTCTGTTAAACAAAGTGGATAAATTCTGCTAAAAGCTAAGCTTTATCGAGATAAGCTTTGATCCTGAGGCGATAAAAGACCTCTCAATAGTCATTTGGCAATACTGGCCTTGAATATTGCTGAAAAAAGACATATTTTGTTGAAGCTTTTCATATTGTATAACTGGGACAGTTTGCAATGATACCAATAAAGGGGAAATTGACATTTATTCTCTGTAAGAGAAGTGTGCTAATTGATTGGTTTGCTGTTCATGTTGCCATGGAAAATGCAGCAGTTAATAATAATTTACTGTTAATTGCCAGGGTTTGTTTAAATTTCAAAGCAGACAAGTTAATATTGATCATAACATCACCCTGAGAAAGAACCAGCAAATGGCTGTCATCTAGTTTGTTGAGTTGAACCAGGTACAGTACATTTTTTATGTCTGCAAAGAACAGGGCTCTTAAGGGCCCTCTTATAGTGCAGTGGTAGTGCCCCTACTCCTGGACTGGGAGGCCTGAGTTCAAGTCCCACCTACTCCAGAGTTGTGTGATTATATCTCTGAATATGTTTATTAGAAAAGTAGGTTAATTCACAGAGCCCTGTTTTTCTTTATTTAATGTATATAGCTTTCAAGCATATGTAGGTTTGCCATAGTGTAAACCCAAAATGATAGTTCTAAATTGGTTTTCAGTGCAGTTCTTCACACAATAGGTAACCTGCTTCCTGCTCACAGCTGAATAGATATGTTGTCTGATAATAATCTTTGGATCATATGTCCTTCATAGCTGGCATCACACTGGCATTGACATTCATATACAGTGTTACTCATTTGTGTGATAAATAGAATGCCTTTTTTGGGCTTGACAGCAGCATTCTGTCAGTGCCAAATACCACCTATGTTGGTACTGCATAGTAGCAGCATGAAACAATTAGCTTCATGTCGAAAGAGAGTTAAGCCAACATCCAGAATAAAGAATAACCTCACCAGAAAATTTCTCACTGTATACCATGCAAACTCATGAAAGGGAAGATGACAGAAAGCAGGGAACTACAGATTTGTTGGCTTAACATCTATCATAGGGGAAATTTTAGAAACTATTATTATATAACAGAGCACTTGGATAATTTCAAGGTATGCAGGCAGAGTCAACATGGTTGTTGTGGAATGGAAGTCATATTTGAACAAACTATTGGAGATCTTTGAGAAGATAACATGTATTGTGGATAATGGGGAATTGGGAGATGTACTGTACTTAGATTTCTAGGAGGCATTTGATAAGGTACCACATGGAGGATTACCGTCAAAAATGAGATTTCCTGGTGTAGAGTAATAGATTGGCTGGCTAACAGGAAGCAGAAAGTAAGTGTAAATGGGCCTTTTTCAAGTTGGCAAGATGTAGCAAGTGGTAGGCCACAGGAATTGGGTCTGGGACCTCAACTGTTTATAACTATACAAATGATTTAAATGAAGAGACAGAAGTTATGATTGCCAAATTTGTTGATGTCACAAGGTAGGCAGGAAAGTAAGCTGTGGAAAGAACACAGAAGGTAATAAAAGATACTGATTGTTTAAGTGAGTGAGTAAAGTTGTGGAAATTGCAGAGACACTGGCTGTCATCTGCCAAATCTTATTGGACATGAAGGTGGTGCCAGTAGATGAGGATTTGTAATTACCACAATATTATTTTAAAAATGTATTTACAAAAGCCATGCAACTACGGTCCAGTCCTGTAGTGAGAAAGCTTTTTCAAAACAATAATCCAGGGCAATGGATGCTGGGACAAATGCAGATTAATTAAAGAAAAGAAGTAGTGATTTGTTAAAGCCAAATAGTGTTGAACTAGCTTGAGTTTTGTTTTAAAGATGTAAGGGATGGTTGTGAAGGCTAATGAAGTTGACGTTTCATGGACTTTGAGAAAGTATTTGATAAAATGCCTAAATGGATTTGCCAGAAAATCTGAAGGTTTGTAATAAGAGACAGTGGTACCATCAATGCAAAAAATGATTGAGTGGCAGATTTTTCTTTAAACTGGAGAAATGTATACGGTGAAGTTCCCCCAGGTCATTGCTTTTCTTGACATTTATTAGAGATCTATAGATGTGTATGTAGTACACAATTCCAACATGTTCAGGTGTCAAAACTTGGAAGTTTTTTGAACTATGAGCAGGATTGTGATAGGCTTCAAGAGGCCATGCATGGACTGATGGACTGAATGTGCTCATGGTAGATGAAATGTGCAGAGAAGTGTGGTGTGATGCATTTTGGTAGGAAGGATGATGATGGGCAATATAAAGTTCAAAAAATGCAGAATCAGTAAACTGGTGTAAAAGAGCACAAATTGTGGTAGAGGGCAGAGTAGATTGAAAAAGTAGTTAAAAAGGCATACAGGAGCTAGTGTTTATACAAAGAAGTATAAAGTAAGAGCACACGGAAGTCATGATAAATAAAAGCAAATTGCTGCAGATGCTGGAAATCTGAAGTCATAATGAACCTTTTATGAACATTTTTTCTTAAAATACTCATGTGTTTTGTAATGAGGTCCTGAGGAACAGAATGCAGTAGGTCAGGACCTGGTTAGTGGGATTGAACAGGATACAAAAGAGAGCTGTTACATTCACAGCTTGGGTACCATGAGTACCAAAGAAGTTGATTGAAGGGAGGAATCTGATGTAGGAAGAATGCTGGTAAGTTTTTAAGTACTGGTGAAATGTTCAGGATTACGGTCAAGAGGTAAGTACACAAATATCTGGGGAAAGCTATCCAAATAATGAATAAACTTTCTGCCCATCAAAGATCATTTCTATTAATTCATTCCAGGAAGCTCCACTGTTAGATCCTGCAGCAAATGAAAGTAGGAATACAAGTATCATGATGGGTAGTCTTTGTAATTCCACAGTTTGTTTGGTATCAAGAGTATGATCTTCTGTCTAATATTGATGACTGCAGCCTTTCTGTCCTGGCTATCTAGGAGGCTTTCCATGGCGTGGAGCAGGAGCTCTGCCATGGCGTGTAGCTGGTGGCTTTGCAGGAGCTGTACCAGGAGGAGTTCCAGGAGGGGTTCCAGGTAATTTGATCTCTTAAGAACAATATTTAGATTATTTTAAATGAATTAAATGAAAACTGAAAGTTTAATTGTTAGTTTTCCAATCTAATTTGTTCACCTTATATAGTATAAGTGTCATCTTTCACTTTAATCAAAACTCAGGTGTGGTGCAAATTCAGTTTAAGTTCTTTGAGCCTTACCATGATATAAAATCAAAGTGTGATTTCTTGGACCACTTCTATTTCTCATCAGTAGTTTGTTCCTCTATAAAATCACCTGAAAACAGCATCAAGGGCCACAGATACACTGACTTTTTAAAAAATATATTAATTCATTAGATATGGATGGCTTTGCCTAAGATGTCCACATGTCATACATGAACAAGAAATTCAGCTCAACCAAACATCACCAATTCTGTCAACCTCTACTGCCTCTGATTAATTATCTCCTTATCTGATATCAAGTATTAGATGAGTAAATATTCTCTAAGTATTCAGTAGAACAAAGCCACCAGCCTGGATATTATCAGATGTAGGCTATATAAGCTCGGCTTGAGTTTTGAATGGGAACTTTCCTTGCAAGTGTTGTTATTGACCGGCTCCCTCCTTTTGCTTCCAATCAGATGAGGGTTCTGGAGCCAGTTGCAGGACTGTGTTGTTCCAATCAATAACCCAGAGTGTCTCCAACTTCGTGGTGGTGATGTGAGAAATTCCTGATAATGCTAGGAGGTGATGGGGGAGGGTAGGTATTCAATATTGGAGAATATCCAATCCTTAACCTTAATGGTAGTCTCTGTATGGGGAAAGGCTTGTGTGAAGGAGCTTAAGGGGCGAGGGGGAAGCAATTCTTATCTTCTTGATTCACAACTAAAGGTCCTTCACTACAAAATTGTTGTTACCTCCCTTCCATTCGTAAGTTTTTTTAATGTTTTGTAAAGTTGGCTGGCCATATGTAAGCCTGGTTAAATTGGGAACTGATAGTCATGCTAAAATATTTAAATTGGCAAGTAGCTCACTGAAAGCAAGTTAACTATCTACTTCTTGTCCATTTCCATCAAACCCAGAACTGAATTGATTTGAGGCAGGATGAGTTTGAATCAGAGATATTTAAAATTTAAACTCTAGCCCAACCCAAAACCATCAGTCTTGAGTATTAAAATCTAACCCATTGTCTTTGGACCCAAAGACAATGTATATTTCCTTGTCTGTATATGCCTCATCACTCCACACCCCTGTTTGAGTTTGATCCAGATAACTTGCAACATTTGCACTACACTCTCATCAGAGGTGGTGTCACAGTGGTACATTCAGGAATGAATTGCCCTAGGAGTCCTCAAGATTCACTCCATACTCCATGAAGTATCACGGCATGAAATCAAACATGACAAGGAAATCTCATACTGATTTACATGCAGCACCCTGCCTCAGCTGATGAATCAGAATTCCACCCGATTCCTCCACCATAATGTTGAAAGTGAGAAATGCAAGCATCAGCAAACAATAGTCAACACTGTTCATGTCTCCTTGACTACTGAGGCAGACCATCCCCATACACAGCAAGACTTGGCTTTCATTAATATGTAGTAAGTGTCATTGTGCCACAAAAGTGTCAGACAATGACCGTGCCCAACGAGAGACAATTTAACTGTCACTTCTTGGTATTCAATGTTATTAGAGTCACACAGTCATGGAGTTACGCAACATGGAAACAATCCCTTTGGTCCAACTCGTTCATGCCGACCAAGTTTCCCAAACTAAACTAGTCCACTTTCCTGCATTTGGCCCATTTCCCTCTCAACCTTTCCTACTCATGTACCTATCATGACTACCTATATACCTACATGTAACTGTATTCTCAACTACCACTTCCTCTGGCATTTCATTCCACATATGAACCACCCTGTGTGAAAAAGTTGCCCCTTAGGTCCCTTTTAAATCTTTCCCTTCTCACCTTATAAATATGCCCCCTAGTTTTGAACTCCCCCGTCCCAGGGAAAAGACTTTCGCTATTCACCTTATCTATGCCGCTCATGATCTTATAAACCTCTATAAGGCCACCACTCAACCACCTACGTTCCAGTGAAAAAAAATCCCAGCCTATCCAGCCTCTCCTTATAACTCAAACCCTCCATTCCTAGCAACATTACGGTAAGTCTTTACTGAATCATTCCGATTTAATAATATCCTTCCTATTAGGAGGGCGACCAGAACTGTACATGGTGCTCCAAAAGTGGCCTCACAGATGTCCTGTACAACCTCGATATGATGTCCCAACTCCTAAACTTAATGGTCAGAGCAATGAAGGCAAGCGTGAGAAACACCTTCTTAACCACTCTGACTACCTCTGTTGCAACTTTCAAAGAACTATGTTTCTGAACCTCTCAGTCTCTCTGTTCAACCACACTACTGAGGGTCCTACCATTAACTTTATAAGTCCTGCCCTTGTTTGTCTTACCAAGCTACAATACCTCACACTTATCCAAATTAAATGCCGTCTGCCATTCCTCAGCCCATTGATCAGGATCCCTTTGTAATCTTAGATAACCTTTTTCATTGTCGATTATACCACCAATTTTGGTGTCATCTGCAAACTTACGAACCATTCCTCCTAAATTCTCATCCAAATTGTTATATAAATGACTAACAAAAGTGGACACAGCACTGATCCTTGTGGAACATCGCTGAATCTCCCACTAACAACATCCTGAGGGTTCCCATTGAACAGAAATATTAATTCGACCAAGCATGTAAACTCCATGGCTATGAAAGGAGATCAGAGCTCGGAATTCTGCTGTGATTAATTCAGTTCCTGACTTCCCAAAGTCTATCAACCATTTACAAGGTACAAGTTAGGAATGAAATACTTACCACTTGCCTAGATGATTGTAGCTCAAACTACTCTGAAGAAACTCAAACCATCTGAGACAAAGCAACCCAATTTATTGGCATTCCACTCTCCACCTTCAATAGTCACTCCTTCCAGACTGGCACACAGCGATAGCAGTGTATACCATCTGCAAGATGCACTGCAGGAACTCACCATGGCTCTTTCAATAGCATCTTCCAAACCCTTGATCTCTACCATCTACAAGAACAAGGGGTACATGGGCACATTACCACCTGACTTGGAATTACAATACAATTTCTTCTCTGTTCCTGGGTCAAAGTCTTGGCATTTCCTAATTCCACCTGAGGGTGTACCCACACCACATGGATTACAGAAATTCAATGAAATAGTTCATTACAACCTTCTTAAGAGGTATTATGAACGGGAAACCAATGCTGATCCAGCTAGCAATTCCCAAATCCTGTGAATGAATAAAGGTTTGGGGAACGCTAGATTCAATGGAGCACAAGGGTTCATTGATCTATAGCTCTTTAACCAGAAGAGAACTTTGGCCGCACTATCTTGGATGAGATCAAAATTAGGTCAGGCAAGTTTTGAGCATCATTTTGTTGCTCCAAAATATTATTCTGTTGGCAATTTGTTTTTAGATGAAATGCAGGTTAGCAGCACTTTAAAAAATCACCCACTAGGTGTTGAAGCCCTTCTGTATTTTAGCACGTTGCCGGTTGGGATTTTAATGTATAGCTTTATTGTTGAAAAGGCCAACTTTGAGATTCGTGAACTGTCCTGATCAAGTTATTCAAAATGATACATATTATGCAAGAGCACAATTTGAGAAAAGGATGTTTTCCTCCTTCAGTAAGGCCCCAAAAGAAAAATTACTGAACTTGTTTTCTGTCTCTGTCCATGTTTGTGGCATTTCGTGTGGAAATTGACTTTCTATTTGACTACATCACACAGTAGTTGCAATTCAAGAGTAATGAATTGGTTGTGAAATATTTTGGATCACCTGTAAGATCAGGAAAGTATACGTGGGTTAATTTAAGTAATCTGGGAAAAGTGTTTTCTCTTGAAATGACTGATCATGATTTTCTAGCTCTACTGGGAGACCAAGATTGAACCATAAACTTCAAAGAATGAAAAGGTTGGTCAGTTAAATCATGAAAAGTTGGAAGCTCCAGCCTCCAACATACCAACTTCCAGTTTTAATAGATGTTGGTATTGATGCAGAGTAACCCAGAGTACTAAATTTATTTTTCAATGATTTGATTGTAATGTATTGAGCACAATTTCCCAGGATTTGTAAAACCTGGCAGTAAAGCAATTAAGCAGCACCTCATGTGAATAATTAATGGGTAGGTGACCTAATTTTAGTACCCAGAGGGAAAAAGATGTGGAATAAAAAATGGCAATACTTGGAAATGAATATACTAGTTGTCCATTTTGGGATATACAGGAGAAATCAGACCAATTAACCAATCTCCTTAGTTCCATGGCTAGGCAGCAGGTTTGTGATGCAGGGTGAGGTGGTGAGCAGAGCATGGGTTCAATTCCTGCACCAGAAGGAGAAGGAGCACTCTCCTTCTCAACCTCTCCCCTTGCCTGAGGCATGGTGACCTTCAGGTGAGAGAGCAGCTCTATGGATTGGTATGACTATAGCAACCTTACCTTTTTTCTGCATTTAATACATTGTCTTTCTACTAAGTTTCATCTGAGAACTGCAGTAGAAGTTAAAACCATTGTCATTATTCAACTAACAAGTATCCATCGCACAAAATACTTTACTTCATACAGGAAATAAGATTTTTCACTAATTATATGGTTTAGACTCTGAGAGCATTCGAGTCCATCATACCTTGACAATTTGCACTTGCTTTCTGGCATTTTCTACAATGATTACTCAAATTATAGTCTCCTATTTGAAAAGATTTTTCTTTTTAGTTCCCTACCTTCACCTTTAAGCACCCATGCACTGTTACAATATTATATCCAAACAACTAATTGATGAAGAATACTAATGGAGCCAAAATTTTATAAATGTGTATACACGGAGTTTCACATTACAATCCCTGGTTATCCAACACCATAGTTTTATTCTGGGCTGAATTTTAACACATATTGGATGTGTAAATTATAGTGAGTTTCATGAAAGATTTTTCTTCATAAGCCCTAGTAAGTCTTCTCACATAATTCTCCTCAGCTCACCTCATTAGTTATTACCATGTCTCTATAATACCCTGCTCATGCCATCATTTGCTTAGCAATGGTGGAGGTCCATTAAGTTCTGTCTGCCTTGTTACACTGGATGTTATAGTATTCTTTCATGCAGAAGGTGATGTTCTTCCTGCTCAATGTCCTCTTCTTCCTTCTCAAAAGACTGCTGCTGTTCTCCCAGCTCTTTAGCATCCATCATATGTCAGCTTTAGCTGCTCCATTTGTCCAAACTGGAATTGCAAAGCGTTTTGTGGGTTATGTAACAGACTCCATCTGGACCGTACTACAAGGTCTCCCTCCATCCGTCCCCACTCTGACCAGTCCAAGAATTATAATCTCCTGTAAAACAGACCTATTATCTGTTCCAGAATAACCCAAAAGTAGCCATGCTGTATTAACACATGGACTCAGTTACGGACATGATGGAATCATCAACCATGATTTCAGCAGATAGCCTTTGTCTTTCAGTAACTATGCTTGTAAGGCATCCATCCTTTGAAACAAAGAAAGAACATGGGAGTTTACGTTGATATTGACAATATGGCGGTTCCCAGGGTATCTTGTGAACTGCTAAGATGTGATACCAATGGTCATAGATGACTTACACATTAACGGAATGGAATGGAATGTTTTTCTGTTGTCAAAGTCAGCCAATTTATGATTTAGATTTATTTATTTAGCTTTATTTATTTGTCACATGTACTAAGTATGGGAATACATAAATACAGCGAAAAGTGCTCAAAGTCGCCGTTCACTAGTGTATTGGTTACAAAAACCAGAATTAAAAGACTTTGACAGAGTCAAAAGGTAAGCAAGAAAGAGAAAGTCCAGATCTCAGAGTCTCAAGTCTGATCTCCATAATGGTGCAGGCACCGCTCCAATCGCTAGAATACCCAGGAGGCCGCTGTCATTGCAAAAGGCCCATTCTCGCTGCAGTCGCCGCCTTACTGGCCCGCTGTCGCCACCGACTGCTGCTGCCTCACCGGCCTGCTGTCACCACTGCTGCCTCACTGGTCTGTTCTCACCGCCGAACCGGAGCACTCTTGATCTGCCACTGTCGCTCCAGCCCACTCTTGATCCGCTGTTGCTGCAAGACACAGCCCATGTGCTCAGCTGCCGCTAAGTGTTTCCCGGTCATGACCTGACTCCTTCCCGACTCCTTAGGTAGGTAGTTGAAAGGGGACAGAATTACTGCAGAAAGAAGAAGAAAAAAAGAAAGGAAAAGGAAAGGGAACTGGCAAGCAGAGTGGAGCTCTGAATGAAGCAACTTAGCCTGCTGCCATCTTATAGTGGCATTTTCAACACAACGTGTACAGTCTATAGTGCCCTGCACCTGGGGAAAGCCAGGGATGACGGCAAAGCCTACTACCCAGACAGCAGCACTGACCTTGCCATAGGGAAACAAGATGCAGCAGTGCAATCTTCCTTGATGCATTTGTGAATCGAGCATTGTGAGATCCCACACACATGCCAGTTGATCCTTGGAAACAGTTAAATAAAAATTTTGTCCGGAGTCACCACCCATCCCTTCAGGTCACAGGTCCTGCTGCAACGGTTTGTGTAGTTCTGTGTTGGTGTCTTGTAACATCCTTAGCCTGCAGCAATCTTATGCCACACTCATCTGAAGTAAATAGCATTAAGAATAATAGACTCTTGGACTCTTGTCCCTCTTTTGTGACCTTCAGATGCAGCTTCTTCATGAAGTGGCTGTTTGGCTGGTTATTGTGAGTTTATTTCTGGTTCTGAGTGTGCTGGTGAATCCATTTCTGCACAATCTATCCACATCTTCATTGCACCATGGCACTGTGACGATAAACCCTGGTGTGGCTAGTTCTTTGTTCCAAGTGAACTTGGGGGGAACATCAGAAATAGAACAGGTTCTGGGTAAAGTGAACAGTCAACAGCTGCATGACTTAGAAATAGCATAGTCCTACACACAGTGGAGAACTTCAACAGGGAGGACCCTGGAAGGCCTGTGCATGGACCATTTGACATATGGACCTTATTCTGATAAATGAAGCTTGTTGTATAAATGTAGTAGGAGATTGTAAGTGCTGTCTGAGCACTGACAACATGTCTCCCCCACCACTCGAATCACCCAAGAAGGGCAGCATTGCATATAACAGCATGTTGGCGAATCCTTGAAATTCAAGGTGAGAGAAAGTCAGCTCTGTTCCCTCGTGCAAGCTATAAGATCTTGGTTTGTCTTTGTGAATTATGGGACACAGGTACAACGTTTAAGTTCTGACTTGATTACTTGTGCTTCACAGAGATAACTATGATCAATTTATATCAACCAATGACATGGTCAAGATTGCTTGCGACCAGGATTTGTATCCCACGTGGTTGGATACTGCATGCATTTCACAAGCAATGATTACAGGTACCTTCAGGATTTAAAGGGTGGAGTTGCATTCGAAGCAGTTCAGAACAAGTTCACTCGACTGATTCCTGATGTGAAGTTATACAATGAGGAAAGGTTCCTTTGGAGTTTACAAAAATGAGAGGCAATCTTATTGAAACGTATCAGATCCTGAGAGATCTTCACAGACTAGATGCCGAAAGTATTCTTCCCTTTGTTGGAGAGACCAGAGCTAGGGGACACAGTTTAAAACTAAGCAGTCTCTGATTTAAGATGAATATGAACAGAAATGTTTGCTCCCAGAGAGGAAAATCAAAGAATTACAGACCAGTTGGCGTAACATCTGTGGTGGGAAAATTGTTGGAGTGCAAAATCAAGCATGGATTTCATGACCGGTAGGTCATGCCTGATGAACCCCATTGAATTTTTTAATGAGGTGACTAAGGTTATGGACAGGGGAATGTCTGTGGATGTTATTTATATGGACTTCTAGAAGGCATTGCATAAAGTCCTACATAAGAGACTGTAAACTAAGATTGATGTCTGCAGAATTGAGGACAAATAACCGACATAGTTGGGAAATTGGTTGAATAGCAGGTGACAGAAAGTAAGTATAACAGGTAGGTACTCAAATTGACAGGATGTGACCAGTGATGTTCCACAAGGATCTGTGTTGGGGCCTCAGTTATTCACATTATTTATTAACGACTTAAATAATGATACAGAAAGTCATATATCCAAATTTGCTGATGACATAAATTTAGGCAATATTGTAGACAGTGGAAATGATAACATAAAGTTACAAAGGGACAGTGATAGACTAAGTAAACAGACAAAACTGTGGCAGGTGGAGTTCAATGTAAGCAAATATGAAATTATCCATTTTGAACTGAAAAAGGATAGATCAGAGTACTTTCTAGATTGTATGAAGTTAAATACAGTGGATTCCTAAAGAGACTCGAGGGTTCAGGTGCTTAGCTCTTTAAAATGTCATGAGCTGGTGCAGAAAATAGTCAAGAAAGCAGATAGAATGCTGACATTTATATCTAGAGGACTGGAGTACAAGGATGCAGAAGTTATCCTACAGTTATACAGAACCCTAGTTAGATCCAACTTGGAGTACTGCGAGCAGGTGTGGGCACCACACTATAGGAAGGATATACTGGCTTTGGAGAGAGTACAACATAGATTTTCAAGAATGATATTTGGACTTAAGGGGTTATGCTATGAGGAGAGATAATGCAAATTATGCCTGTTTTTTCTAGAATTTAGAAGGTGATCTGATTGAAGTCTTCAAGATATTAACAGGAAAAGACAGGGTAGATAAAGATAAACTATTTCAACTGGTTGGTGATTCTATAAGTAGGGGACTTAGTCTGAGAATTGGGGCCAGGCCGTTCAGGAGATGTAAGGAAGCACTTCTGTACACAAAGGATGAGTGATTCTGCAAATGGCAGTGGATACTTGATAAGTTATTAATTTTAAATCTGAAATTGATAAATTCTTGTTAAGCAAATGTATTAAAGGATATGGGCCAAAGGCAGGCATAACGAGTTAGGCCACAGATCAACTGTGGTCTAACTGATTCATGGTACAGCTCGAGAAGCTGAATGGCCTACTCCTGTTCCTATGTTGAGAGTTTGTGGAACTCTGTTCCCTATAAAATAGTGAAGGAAGCGTCATCAATTTTTTTTTTAAGGCAACACTTGTGAAATTCTTGACTAACAAGGTACTTATTGGTGATAGGTAGAAAAATAGACGTGGGGTCACCATTCAATCAGCTGTGATATTACTGAATGGCAGAACAGTCTGAATGGTTTGAATGGCTTGAACTTCTTCATTCATATGTTAGTATATATGTTTCTGCTACGCAAGTAATCCGTGCTTGCTGAGAAAATATTGCGAGAGTATCACTGGGGAAACCTTTTGGTAGCAGATCTGTTCTGTAAGCTTAACTATGTTCAAAGTAGTCATCAGGATCTATTTTGTGAGACATTTCCCCTTGCTATTTTTGCTATTGTGTATGACCTGAGGTAATGCCATATTACACAAACTCTATGTAAGAGGTAGGAATTAATGGTTCTCAATTTTTCATGCGATCTTAAAAATTACTAAGTGAGATTTGAACAACTTACATTTTATTGAATTATTTAGGGAGTGGCTGGAATGAAGCAAGGCTGTTTTCTGTATAATGTTACCCATTCCATGGCCTCTGTTTTGTATAACTTGTTAATTCTTTGTCATTGCAGGTGGATATGCATCAGCTAAAGCTGCTAAATATGGAGGTAAATCTTCCTATTTCGTAATAACATCAAACTATTACTGTACTAGTAAGCATGGGTTGTTAATAAGATCAATAAGAACAATTTTCTTGTTAAATGGAGAACATATATAAATTTTAATCTGTGATCAAGTAAAAAAAAAACTTCAAGCAGTGTTACATCACTTTCCTGATGTTAAACAGATGTATACAAATATGACTTGTCACTCTCCACTTTAATATCCAGTTGCCACGAATTTAAGTTTGTATCTGAGAAGCTTTCCCTCATACTAAACTGGTGACGTTGTAACTAAGTAATATCCATTGACATAATGTGTAGAGAATTTGAAGTATGAGGCAGAAGTTTTGCAAAGCAGAATAGTCTTTATTGCAGGGAGAATCTAGGAAGTATCTTGCTAGATGAAGAACAAGAATGAAAGGCACAATTCCAGACATATATCTATATGAAATATTTAATGAGCAATCGCTAAGTACTTGATGAGGGTCCTATATTTGGGAAGTATGTAAGTAGCAAGGTTTACTAGCCAGATTCAGGGAACTTGAGCCAATGCTGGTCAGGGAATATCAGAATCACAAACTATTCAATATTCCATTCCTTTCACAGTCTTTCTCCATAATTACTTTATGTTCACTTAATTATTTTCAAATATTGCTTTAAACTGAAGTAGGAAAACACTCAATTATTGAAATTAAATCTGAAACTAAGATCTGAGTTGCAATACAATGGTAGTAGTTACCTTGTTAAAATGTTGCAGATTTGTGCACATATGATAAAAATACAATAGCTGCGACTTCAGCATTCTGCAGAAGATGTGTTTAGGGTGATGGCATTTTGTGCGTAGAGTAGAAATGCATGTCATTTATTTTGAAAAGAACTTTTGTTAACTCATATTGTCTTTTTTTGTTCTAATTTGAATAATGGTGTTGTCCAGGACATTAATGTTTCCCGTGTATGTTGTGGTTATAAAATTAACAGAGGATTGATTATAATGAAGTACAGTAATAAATTTTGCTACTACTGTTTCTGTAATGGTCCAAATAGCTATATGACAAATACCGAAGATATTATTAATACATGGTTATATCACCTAATTAGTGAGTTAGAGAGAATGATTAAGTAGCCACTGAAAACCAAAAAGTGGCCACCAAAAATCCAAGAAGTACCCCCAGAGAAAATCTAAAAAAGCTCCTCAGAAAGGAAATGAATTTTGACCTGAGACTCACGTTCAAATCAAAATGGCAGAATGATCAGGAGTCAAGCAACACTTGAAGCAACAGGAAAGCTCGAGGGAGACAGATTGTTAGGCAGAGCTGAGAAAAAGCAGTTATTGTCTTCTTCACAAACATCCCAAACTCCTTTTCAATGATATTAGTCTCCAAATCTTCCAGCCCAGGGGTGGGATTGAGTGAGTCATGGCAGGATACCAATTTGTAGTTTATAGAAAGAGGCAGAGTCTGAGTGGAACAGTTCAATATAGAAAAATATGCTGTGATGGAGATTGAAAGTAAGTAGAGGAAAAGGAAATAACAACCTAACAGATATTAGATGTGAACAAGCAAGAGAATGAGAATGATTATGAAGTATATTGGAGATATTAGATCAGATGACTAAAATCTTCAAGAAAGTGGGGGGGGCGGTGGGGAAGTGTCTGAAAGGAAGGAAGTGTTAAGTCCAGATGTAAGGAGGGAATTTCAGAGGTTGCAGCATAGGTAACAGAGGACATTGCAGGCCTGGTGAAGAAACTATGATTGGGAATGCGCAAGAGGCCGGAATTAGATGAACGCAGATCTCTGGAGGATTGAGGGGTTGGAAGAATTAACCTTGTCATCCTTTAAAACAGTCCTGAAGTAGGGTAACTGGACTCAAAATATTAACTCTACTTTCTCTCACAGATGCTGCCAAAGCTGCTGAGTTCCTCCCAGCAAATTCTGTTTTTGTTTTGGGTTTCCAGCGTCTGCAGTTCTTTGTTTAGTTATAGGAATCAAACAATAGATCAATAACCATGGTGACAGGTGAAAAGGGCTTTATGCAAATTAAACGTAGGCAGCAGAGCTTTGAATTCGTGGAGGATGGAATGTTGGTAATGAGCCAGGAGAACATTGGATTCACTAAATCAAGAATTAGCAATGATAGGGATCAGGGTTTCAACAGCAAATTAACTCGGGTAGGGGCAAAGTTCAGTGATATTTCTCACATAGAAAAAGCTTGTCTTTAACATAATTAGAAGATCATAAACTGATTGCAAGATTGATTGTGACACCAAACTTCCTGATGCAACCTTTGCTGAAGATTCCCTAGGGATTTCTCTACTGCAATTTGTCTCCTATTTACTCTCCACTAATTAGCTTTACTATGTCCAGTCCTATTATAATGCAAGCAAGTTATTTTCTTTACATCATATTTGAGTTCTTGCCTTCCCCCATTATTACTTTGGTGTCATTCTATTTGTTCTGTTAAGCTAATACCACTTCCATTTGCAGATGTTCTGTTTCTCAAGTTTCCTTGTGAATTCCCATTTGACCATTTCTCCACATGTAATTGTGTGAAAGGGGATAACTACCTGACCTACAGCATCTCATAAGTTTGATACTTGATGTTCATCTAAAAAAATTTAAGATTTACTAGAATACTATTATTGAATTTAGGTTTCCTACCTTGTAACTCTAAATTTTAATTAATATCTTTCAGGGACATGCTTATAAGCATTAGGTGTTTTGTTTGGCAGTTTCATAGTTTGCATATTGTTCTTCTGACAAACTGACATGCACATTCATTGCTGTGTTTGTCAAAGCACTCTATGATAAAATCCAAAAGTCTTTTGGCCATTATGTCTGCCACCTACTTTTTCAAATGAGGTGAAATAGCTTCCAACCGCACCCTCTGTACATTTTAGGCACTAAGCATAGATTTTTAGTCAAGTCGAATCTGTCCAATTTCCATTTCCCTTTTACTTTATTCTCTTCTCTCACAAGTCTTCTTTTAATTTCTAACTGAATCTGAGCCAATTTTAGGTATTTTCAGGTTTTCTCAATTCAGTTTTCCTTCCTTTTGTTCTAAATGCTGGGTAATCACTTTAAGGATCTCATCTACTTTCAGTATATCTGCTAAATTCCTCCATTTAGCCTGAATTAAAGATGTCAAATAATACAATCTTTTGGTTCCAGGATTATCTGAGTTCCAAATAAGTCATACTGGACTCAACATGTTAATTTTGTTTCTCTCTCCAAAGATGCTACCAGACCTGCTGAAATTCTCCAACACTTTCTACTTTTATTTCACAACACATCTGTTTTATGTCCAGTGCTTCTATGTACCCATTTCTTTACAAGAGACATAAATCCCTTTTAAATTACAAACATATAGACAAGCATAAATTATGAGCAGAAGTAGATGATTGAATAATACAATGGCTGATCAGTTTGTGATGCTCCAAATTTCACATTCACAACTATTCTTGATAACCTTCAAATCCTTGCCTAACAAGAATTGATCTACTGCCACCTTAAATATTTAATGATCCATCGCTAAGGCAGAGAGTTCCAAAGTTGCACAGCCCTAAGAAAAAACAACCCTCATCCTTTCCTAAAAGGATGACCCCTAAGCTTAAAAATGTGTCTACTAATTCTGGACTTACCCACAACATTATTTCCACATCCACCTCTCCAAGACTGCTTAGAAGCCAGCATAATCTATCTTTCCTCTTAAGAAAACCCACTTATTCCAGGTATCAATCTAGTAAACCTTCTCTGAACCACCTCTAGTGTATTTACATCCTTTCTTACATAAGAAGACCAAAACTGCATGTAGTCTGACCAATGATGTGAGCAACACCACAGAGCTGGAGGAGATAATTAGTGTGGATAGTTTAGTATGACAGGGTGAGAAATCTCACTTGCCCTCACCGCAAGAAACTCTCCAACAACTTGACACATCTTGAATTTAACCAAAAAGAACATGAGAATCAGCCTTATATTTCATTTTTTTCAGTTTCTCAATCTCCTTCATATCCATTCTGATGATGCCACATTCCATAATGCTTCCTATATCACTTTATTTTTCCTCAATCAAAGATTCCTCCAGTGTAGGTGACAATACCCTGAATGATTTCTCTCCTATTTCTTGCACTTTTAATGTCACTCCTACCCCTGCTCCCACCACCTTCCAGAGTTACAATAATCTTTCCCCTGTGCTCACTATGCACCACAGCATTCTTCACGTAATGTTTTTTCCTCACAATTTCTTCCATGTCTATAACAATACTACTACCAAGCACAAATGCCCCTACCTTCCATTTCAGAACTCTGAAGGGACAAATCAGTACAGAACATCATAGCTCATTCTTCTATCACAACACTTTTTCTGCAAGAGTGGGAGATGCACCATTTGGCTTTTCACCTTTTCCCATCATCCAAGGCTTCAAACTTGCCTTTCAGGTGAAACAGCAATACTCTTGTGCTTCCAGTTTGGTAAATTGCATTCTCTACATTAAGGATACCAAACTGAGATTTCCTGATTGATTTGTTGAGCAGTACCGTTTATTACAAAAGCCATATCTTGAGCTTACATCACGGACCATTTTTATTCTCCATATCACCAACTTCTCTTTCCTTGACTTCCTACAAGTGTATCTGTGGTGAAGGAGGATGAGATTGATGTTCACTCATGACAACACCTGCGTGCGGAGATTTTTTGAGTTGTGATGTTATTTCGTTGCAACTACCAGATAATTGTGGCCAACCAAGAAGATCTCCCACTCTGACCATCTGCCACAAATGTTTAGGAAGAGTTTACAGATTGATAATGAAACTGATGGGACATACCTTCTGTGGCCATAAAGTTCAAACGTCATATTTGAACCCTGAGTGACTGGCCCAGACGTAGGATGCTACCATTACACCATGACATCTGCTATTCCTACCAATGATGTAAAATGAAGCTTAAGGAACACATCTCATTTTAGTTAGCTCTTTCTGGACTTAACATTAGGTTCAATAATTTCAGGT